ATCTAAACTCCTTACCTGGATGAAAATCTAAAATCTACCAGGGAAAGAACAAATAGGTTTCTCCAAAAGGTTGCTCTACATTAGACCACTGCCTATATACTTATGCATTTGCGTTGAAAAATACAGATCCAAAGGGCAATCTAAGATATATGCTGCTTTTGTAGATTTTCGTGGTGCATTCGACTCAATTGACCGCCCAAGCTGTGGAGGAAACTCGCAGAATTAAAAATTGATTCAGCGCTTATTGATTCTAATACAGAAATCTATACTCTTCCAATGTCTGTCAAGTCAAACTTAACACCAAAGGTCACCTTTCATCAGACATCCCAAACTCGAAAGGGGTAAAACAAGGGTGTATTCTTGCCCCCTTTCTATTTAATTTATTTTTATCAGACTTGCCAGATCACCTTTCAAAAAATAGAATCACATGCCCCTAAACTTAATCAGAAACCAGTTCCTCTCTTATTAATACGCAGACGATGCTGTCCTACTATCATTAACGAGCTGGGTCTGAAACGTCTTATATCTTCTCTGATCCTTTCTGCGAATGTAACAAACTCTCTATAATTATGAGAAGACAAAAAATTTTTGGTCTTCTCGAATGGTTGGAAATTAGAGAAATGGAAAATAAGAGGGCAAGAAATCCAACAAGTGAAAATTTACTAGGTTATCTGGGAATCTTATTTCCAGAGCAATTTAGGTGGGCAAATCATCGCACAAATTGCCATAAAAACAGGCAAAGTGCACCTCATCAGCAGTTGCCCGTTTTTATTATCAGAAAGGTAATCATTTATTCCTGCGGCCAATCAGATATTTCAAACAAAAGTGCAAGCCCAGATACTCTATGGAATCCCGCTATGGGTCCAAGCATATAACAGTGATTTAAAAAAGATTCACTCCAGCTTTCTGAGACGTATTCTTGGACTCCCAGCTGTGATCAAATATGAAACAATGTGTGCAGAAATAGACATACACACAATGGAATATTGGGCCTGGTCCACCTCAATAAAGTACTGGTTACGCTGCCATTTTCGCTGCCCTCCATCAAGTCTGCTCGCTGATTTGCTCAAAGACTGCCTATAAATCAAGATGGTATCAGTACCTCGAAAAAAAGATTGAATCTTTAGGCATCGAGCTGGAGCCCCTGTACAATTCTAATGAGCAATACATTTTCCATAATATCCTAACTAGACTAAAGGATGTCGAGAGACAAAATATTATGGCAGCTGTAAACAAAATTTGCTCCCCCATATTCTATGATTTAAATATCTTAGATAGCAGAGCCAATTACGTCACTAAATTAATAATCCCAGCCCAACGTAGGGCTTTTATGCTGGCCCGTTTGAATGTTTTTCCCTCAGCATTTGTCTGGGGAAGATATCAAAACATTCCTAGAAACAAGAGATTCTGCAGATGCTCTATGAATGTCCCGGACACTGTAGAGCATATTCTCTTTCATTGCCCATTGTACACTACGCTCCGTCAACGCGTGCTGTCCCCTCTTTTGGGTGGTCTGGAACCCCAGCAAGGTGAATGTGTGGGATTCTGCCTATCCGACGTTGACCTAAGGGTAACGGCGGGGGTAGCCGAGTTTTTGGTAGCAGTCCTCCAAGGAGCAGGTTAACAAGGAAAACCACTGATTCTATATGTATATATATATATATGTATGTAGCCAACTGCTGCCTTTTTATATATATTTCAAGGCTTTTATATGTTATTTTCTCTTTTATGGTTTTATTTGCATAATGCCTAATAAAGGTTTGATTTCAAGAATGGAAGGGTTTTCACAATCGGTCTACCCTTATATACAGGCACACTTTAGAGAAGGAGACAGGACAGCACAATGATGGGGGTAGGCTGTCGTTGTGAATGGTACCATTTTGAGAAATGGTTTATGGCACAATATCTCATTTATAGGAAAGGGTGTGTGTGTCCCCCCCCCCTTCCTGTAAATTCTGGTAAAAACTGTACCTTGCATTTTGTTTTTCTGGAGATTAATTTACGTCTAATGTATAACTGATTTTCCTTTAATTGTATTTGTACATCACACCTTCACCTTTCATAAACTGAAATTAATTTTCTGCTGATGAGTTTTAAAAGTTTTCCAAAAACATCCCAACATTTGTTCATATATAGTCACAACACTCCCACCCTCCGGGGCATATTAAGGATTGCAGTTTTTACCTCCCAACTACTTAAATATAGTTTAAGGAGGAGTTAACAGTTCCTGTAGTTTAACTGGCTAATAAAAGGCTTTGCTGCCCTCAGCCTCTCAGGAGAAAGACTGTTGTAACCACATTTGGGAAACCATGATTGAAGGCAGCCTTCCCCAACTTAGTGCCCAATATCTGTGCCAGGAAGGCCAGATATCCCCACCTTCGAATGTATGTTACATGGTAGCTTGTTTAGTTTGCGAGTTGTTTTGTGGTTCAATTTTAATTAATTGGTTAGTCAGTTAGTTTAAACTGCAATAGAAGGTTGTCAAATAATGTAATAGTTCTGCAGATAACTAGTCAGCCCATCTTATTTGTGTGTATTGAGCTGTTGATATTATAAGTGGAATAATAAACTGGGAAAGAATAACATCAATGATCTCAAAGGAGGCAGGCATGGGGCTTGGAATTACTACTGCGGAGGGTGAGGGAGGTATGGTGGTGGGAGCGGATTCCACAGGCGAAGGGGTCTGAGATATGGATATGCTCGCACCCCTTCCAATCTGTGCCCCATCCCGAGGGATGAAGGTAGGGTGAGGACTACTCACCTTGGTCACTGGTGTTGTGCAACGCCAGGTCTATAGGCAATAAAACCGCCACCCTGTGAGATTTCTTTACTTGACCGGCTTGTGTGACGGAGACCTGGGTGTGCAAAGGGAAACAGTTGCCTTACGAGAGATGGCGCCCTCGGGTTTCTCCGTCCTCCACCAGTCGTGGACCATGGGCCGGGGGGGGGGGGAAGGGTGGCATTGTTAATCTGAGAAGATTGTTCTTTCAGGGTTCTGCCATCACCATCGATCTCTGGCATTGAATGTGTTGGCCTGGTGTGGTGTGTTGAGAAGAGCTTGGCTGTTTGGCTGGTGTACTGGCCACCTAGCGCACCAGCAGGTACCCTGTCAGACCTAATGGAGGTGGTGGCAGGCTGGGCCTTGGAGTTCCCCAACCTATTGGTATTGGGGGACTTCAGTGTCCATGCTGATGCCGCCCCCTCCTTACAGGCTCTGGACCTGGTGTCTTCCATGGCAACACTAGGGCTCCCCCAGTTTGTTTTGGGCTCCACACATCAAACAGGCCCCACACTGGATCTGATTTTTGGTGCGGGCATAGATGTGATCATGTCCCCTCAATGGAGCTGCCATGGTCTGATCACTATGCCCTGAAAGCCAGGATTGACTTCCCGTCCCCACCCTGCTTAGGTGGTGAGCATATTTGGGCTCGCCCGCAAAGGCTGATGGATCCTGATCGATTCCGTCAGGCCTTGCGGGATGCTGCTCCCCCTGGTGACTCATTGACTGAGCTTGTTGAGGGTAGGAATACCCGGCTCTTGGTGGCCATCAATGAGATCACACCTAGGTGCCCTTTGCAACCCCACAGAGACCAGGCCCCCTGGTTTACCAAGGAGCTCCGGAAAATGAAGCGGGACCTCAGACGGCTATAGCGAGTATGGCACAGTACCTGCAATGGAATTTCTCCATATTGGTGGGTATCACTCTGCTATCATCTCCAGCTGCATTACAAGAGGGGTTGGAGCTTGCCTACATCAACTCCGGAATACTAATTGCGCTACAATTCTATTATTAGTTTGATCGTGAGTGATGCCCTACCATATTAAAATCTTTGGCAAATATGTGGGTGTCAACACATTTAGATTCAAAAATTCAACAGTGGGAAATTCCAAGCACTGCTACATTCTTTCTTATTGTGTGTGTGTGTGTTCACATCGCCACACATCAGCTTTGAGGTAGTGGAAGTTCGGTTGGCATTAACGCCACCATGGCGGCGTGGTCCGAGTCCAGTCCGAGGTCAAGGGTGTGGTATGGGGGCTGTCTGTCAAGGCTGAAGTGGGGTCCAAGGCAAGGAGTCGGGTAAGGTCAGGAACTCTGGCAGAAGAGCTGGACAGGGTGCCGGCAGGAACAGGTTACCAACAATGTTGCTCCCGCAACCTGGGACTGGGCTGGCTGGCTTTTATCTCCTCTGAGGCATAGGGCAGCCCTGTTCCACAGGTGACTCGCCTCTCCTGGTCTGGAGGCAAGCACTCCTCCTACAGGAACTTAGTTCCCTCCGCCTCTCTGCTCTGAGCCTCTGCAGCTCAGGAGAGGCTGGAGGGTTACTGGACCCAGAGGCAACCTCCTCTTCCCCTCATGGGGCTGAGAGTGGAGCACCTGCAGGCAATGGGTCCTTGATCACCTCCGGAGCCAGAGCAGATTCAGCTGGTGTCTGCTCCTGAGGATCCAGCACAGGTGAGGGCCCTTCAGGTTCAAGCCCCAGCCCTGGCTCAGCAGGCCCTGGAGGCGGGGACTCCTGTGCAGGTTGGGATTCCTCAGGTTCAGCCTCTGAATCCGATTCCCAGGCCATCACAGAACACTTTAAGAGGGGCTTAGGCAAATTCATGCCAGATTAGGCTATTGGTGCCTACTAGCCACAATGCCTGTGTTAGACCTCCACTGTTGGAGGGAGCATGTCTCTCAGTGCCAGTTCCTGGACATTCCCTGCAGGTGGGGAGAGTGCTCCTGTACTCACAACCTGCTTGTGGTGCATCTGACTGGCTTCTGTGAGAACAGGGTGCTTGACTAGATGGGCCTTGGGTCTCATCCAGCAGTCAGGCTCTTCTGATGTTCTTAGGAGCAAAAATCTGGTGTTTGAGTCCACTCTCTTGCTGGCTATGACACACACTGTGTGAAATCCATGTTGCAGATATTAATATTGTGCAGTCTGAAGCGACTGGGTGTCTGAAAAAATGACCCCTTTTGGAAATGAAGCATTGCACAGGCCCATGAAAATATTGTTCAAATTTTACTAGCAGAACTCTTCAAAATAAAACAGATCCAAATGATACATCCAAAGATATTCATACAACGTCTTGTGCTGTTCAGCACAGTCTCAGCACCTTAGAAAATATGAAATGATCCAAACAGACCTAGAAGCAGAGGTCTGTCTCTCCCACATCCTTCATTCCAGCCTCCATCGGCCTTAGGCGGCTTACTCTCCCTTCAGGAGAGCTTTATTTACATATTCACTCCATGGAGTTTGGACTCAAAGGCAACTTCCTTCAAAATGGAGATTTGCTTGTCGAGCTGAACAGGTTACTGTGAAAATCTTGTTTGTTGGGATTGCAGTGGGATGTTGGCTATGGATGATTAAAGCATCATTTTCTTTTCTCTTGTCCTTCAAGAAAGGCTCATTGGGGCAAAAGCAATCCTCTATTCTCCGTACGCTCTATATGCTGCCATGATGGTTCTTGTGGGCTGCATCGTTGTCTCAACTTTTATGATCGTCTTGTGTAAGTAACACTTGCAGGGAGCATGGTGGAAACCTTCAGGTTTACTCTGGCTTCTCTGCTTCACTGTCAACCTTTCGAAAAGAGATGGCGCAGTCCAAACTCTGCCGAGGCCGACTTCCTCTCATTGGTTTCAGTAGGTGAGGTAAAGGCCTGGCTAAATCTTTCCCATTGAAATCAATTTTTCTCCACTGCTGCCCCTCAATAACCGCTTAAATACTTGGTGTGGACAAGACAGTTACTCCGATGTGAACAAAACTGAAATATACTCGAGTGTGGATTTCATGCTCTTTATTCAGCTCATAGTAGTGAGGACTTGAAGTTCCCCCGAAATCTCTGCTTTATATATATTATTTACACAAGGGGCTCCACGTGATTGGCTAATTCTAGGATTCTCCTGTAGGCCAATCAGGTTGCGGATTCACTTCCACCTAGAGTTGGATTGGGTGGCTCCTGCGGACCAATCAGAATGCTGCATTCTGGATCCTATTTTTTTTTAAAAAAATTATTTAATCATGGATCCTATTGTTCTAGGACCAATCAGACTGCTGCATTCTGAATCCTATTGTTCTAGGACCAATCAGGCTGCTGCATTCTGGATCCTATTCAACTCAGTACATAACAAAACCCATTGCCTTTGTTAAACTTGTTGTTATCTTTAGCTTGTTGTTTAAGCAGGGGCGATACTAGGCTTTATTTCACCCAGGTGAACGCCTCCATTTGGCAAACACACCCAATGCACATTTGTGTGCACACAGTCAGGCTCGGAGCCTCAATGGCGTTCCTCTGGAGGCCTCATCCCATGCGAAAAACCTGGCTAGCCCCCTCCCCCCCCCTTGTAGTTACGGCTCTGTCTTAAGTGAGCTGTGAAGGCTTCTTCCTGTCTCAGCTTGTGTGGCTGGAGAAATCTACAATAGCCCACGCTCTGCGTGTGAAAGCAAAGCCGTACTTCCACTTGGCATGACTAGTATCAGAACATTTGTATAAATTTTCCCCTCTCACCTTCCCATTAGATAACCGTGAAATGAGAAAAAGAACCATCTTTCTCAAAGGAGTGAATGAGATTTCAGATTACATGGGCAGGAAGTATCCAGATCTCCAGAGTTTGGAAGGTAAGCAACGAGTTGCAGCTGGGATGCTGAGCCCCTCCAATCATATTTTCTCCCAGCAGAGCATATTCCCACTGGTATGTCTCTGTTGGGACAGAAACCACAGGATGATGGGTGGGTTGCAGTGGTATATCGGTGGGTAGAATAAGTTTTTATTTTAACTGTCTTCTGCCAGGCATCTGGGAATCCGAACCACACCCCCCCCCCACACACACAACAGGCAGCCAGGGAAAAATAGACAGCAAAAGCTCTTAAAGGTAAAGGTAAAGGGACCCCTGACCATTAGGTCCAGTTGTGACCAACTCTGGGGTTGCGGCGCTCATCTCTCTGTATTGGCCAAGGGAGCTGGCATACAGCTTCTGGGTCATGTGGCCAGCATGACTAAGCCGCTTCTGGCGAACCAGAGCAGCGCATGAAAACGCTGTTTACCTTTCCGCAGGAGCGGTACCTATTTATCTACTTGCACTTTGACGTGCTTTCGAACTGCTAGGTGGCCAGGAGCAGGGACCGAGCAACGGGCGCTCACCCCGTCGAGGCGATTCGAACCGCCGACCTTCTGATCGGCAAGAGCTTTTGCTGTGGTTTAACCACAGCAAAAGCTCTTACCAATGTCTTTTATTCAATATTCACAGAGAGAGGCTTAGAAAGGCAGCCTCTAGGAGTAATGGCATTGCTCGGAATAATCTCCTCCCCTCTTCCCTTCTCGCTTGTCAACAGCCCCACCCCCCTTACAGTGGCTGCTTATGGCCATTTGTCTCTTAGCTCTCTGCTCTCCTGCTTTCAATGCTTTCCTGGTTCTGGGAGAAGGGGGGTCTGGAATGCTTTCTAGTGATAACATGTCAGCCAGCTGCCCCAGCACTGCTTCCTATCCCCTTCTCCCAGCTTTGCCCCTCTATCTCTGAGCTGTGACCTTCTGCAAACCACTATTGTAAATCTATACTGTCTTCCTCTTCTCTGAAAGTTTGAGGATGAGGTCTCCACCATTCCTCCTCAGTCCAGTCCCTGACACTGTCTGTCTGTCTCGTCCCTCATCCCAAATGGAGCCCAGGGCAGCAAATTCACCCATAGAAACTCTTTTTTTAATGTTTGGGTGGGGTGAGTGCTCTAAAAGCAGTTACAGTTAGGACATCTTTTTAAAAGTATATTTAAAGCAATAAAAAATTCTCTCTACCAGTGATCTCAGGGGTGCCCGGAACAATGTCCTTCAGCCATTAAATGTTTGGGTAAACAGGAATGTTTTCAAATTCCTCCCAAAAAACAATTACAGAGACAGTCTCACAAACAGGGGGCCACCACTGGAAAGGTCCTATCATAAGATAACATCAACCTGGCAGCCCTTGGCGGTCGCACCACCACAAAGGCCTTGCTTGATGATCATAGGGTCCATGATGGTTGATATTGCGGAAGGTGCAATGTTCGCAAGGAGGATGGTACGTAACATGAGGTTCCACTGTACTCGCCTGTAGTCTTGCTGACACAGCCCTATCTAACTTTGTTTACTGCTAACGTCTATTGTGCCTTTGTGGCCTTTGCCTGGATCAGTGGCGTAGCGTGGGGGGTGCAGGGGGGGCCGGCCGCACCGGGCGCAACATCTGAGGTTAGGGCAAATCCACAGGTTAGGGGGCGCAAATCCATGGGTTAGGGGGCGCAAATCCACGGGTTAGGGGGCGCAAATTACTTGCCTTGCCCCGGGTGCTGACAACCCACGCTACGCCACTGGCCTGGATACATTTTGTTCCAATGCTGTTATCAACAGAGCTGTTTGAGCTTTATGTGTATAGCTGTTTGAGTTTATGTGATAGGGGGTGGCGGTAATTGACTTCCACTACCTCAAAGCTGAGTGGGGATTGGAACACACACACACACAAAATAAGGATAAGACTGTAGCTAGTTGCTTGAGATTTCCCTGACTTGAATTTTTGCAATCTTTTAAGATGTTGACAGAATTAATGTAGCTACGAATTTATCATTGAGGCTGACTGAAGAGAACAAAAAAAATAAGGAACTGCAAGTTGCAATTGGTAAGTTACTCTGAGACTGTGATGCTGAATAATGCAGGGAGAGCCCATTACAAAACAAAAACAGAAACCTGTTATTGACTTTAGAGGGGCGCTGCCAACCTCTGTATCTGCCACTCAACTTAAACTGGTTCCAAAAACCTGTCTGCAAGATGCCAAGCAGTGGAAATCTCTTCTGCAACCACTGCTGTTCAAATGCTGTTCTTTATATATCACACTCAAAAACAGTTCTGAAAGCTTTTAAAATGAATGAGCCACATACAGGTCTAATTTTACAGCAGACCCGGCAGAGCTCACACATACCTCTCAACCTGTGTCTGGTACTTTTGTCTGTCTGTGTAGATTTGTTAGAAAACTGGCTAACAAATTTTCAATGCATGTAAAAAGAGAAAAAGAAGAAAATGAATTATATATCTCGGTGAAAATAGGCTAATGTTGTTGGTGGTTAGAATAAACAATCGAATCCTGTTGCAAACTTTCTTCTTAACATAGCTCATTAATGTAACTCGTTAATATAATATATAATAAAATATACTGAGACTTTGTAGTACAGTGGTACCTTGGGTTAAGTACTTAATTCATTCCGGAGGTCCGTTCTTAACCTGAAACTGTTCTTAACCTGAAGCACTACTTTAGCTAATGGGGCCTCCCGCTGCCGCTGCACCACCGGAGCACAATTTCTGTTCTCATCCTGAAGCAAAGTTCTTAACCCGAGGTAATATTTCTGGTTAGCGGAGTCTGTAACCGGAAGTGTATGTAACCTGAAGCATATGTAACCCGAGGTACCACTGTATAACAAGGTCTTGGTATATCACCTGTTTCACATTATAAAGGTAAAGGTACCCCTGCCCGTACGGGCCAGTCTTGACAGACTCTGGGGTTGTGCGCCCATCTCACTCAAGAGGCCGGGGGCCAGCGCTGTCCGGAGACACTTCCGGGTCACGTGGCCAGCGTGACATCGCTGCTCTGGCGAGCCAGAGCCGCACACGGAAACGCCGTTTACCTTCCCGCTAGTAAGCGGTCCCTATTTATCTACTTGCACCCGGGGGTGCTTTCGAACTGCTAGGTTGGCAGGCGCTGGGACCGAACGACGGGAGCGCACCCCGCCGCAGGGATTCGAACCGCCGACCTTTCGATCGGCAAGCCCTAGGCGCTGAGGCTTTTACCCACAGCGCCACCTGCGTCCTATTCTGGGACACATTAATTTGTTTCACATTATAAATAATGCTTAAAGCTCTGCAGAGACATTCAAGCTGTCTTCTGATGAATATCCTCTCTCTCTCTCTCTCTCTCTCTCTCTCTCTCTCTCTCTCTCTCTTCCTCACATATTTGTGGCTTGACGGAAAGATGACATTTTGCATAGGCTTGAGCAACATTGGACGGTGTACAACAAGAAGTTATACTTGTTTGATATCTTTAAACCACCCAGAACTTGGCAAGACTGTGCAGATTATTGTGCGGGAAAAGCTTTCTCCGGAATGATTAATGTTGAAAGTAAAGATGAGGAGGTTGGTTGGATGCTGGAATACACACAAAGCAGGGACAACCCATCACAGTATGATGACTACATAGCCTTCAAGTCCTATAACAGCTCCTTCTTGCTCCTCTCCTCCACGAGCAGTAAGAAGTCACATTGACCAGAGGAAACCCCATGGGTTTGTGATGTTTTCTGTAATACCCATTAAGGAGGAAGAGAGCTAGAGCTAGTCACAAAGCAGTTACTCATTCCCCAGTAAGCAACAGTGTGCTAACTACCCTCCACCCACTGTCTACACATTGACTGCCAGCATTAAAACAGAAGATTATATCACTTTATTTGGACAGTCACAAATTAAAGTTCAAACTAGATGGGGGTACTGTGGCGATCACACAGGGTCCCCGGTCATTTGACGGTCTATTGATCCCTGTGCCACCACTGTGATTGCCTATTCGCTGCCACCAACCCGTTTCTCTCGGGTACACACGGAGTCCAGACAGTTGTTAACATTAACAAATAATCAAGTTTATTTTTATAAGCATGAACAAGTTTAAGGTTTCAGTTAATTTTTCTTGTCAGTTTCTTAATCGTGGTTTCTTTACTGACCTATACGTTCTTAACAACTTCAAACTGATTATCCCAACTATCTATCTGACTCCACCTAACAGTTCCTCTCACTCCCTCACCACACAACTCGACCAACCCACAGATTTATCCTCCCTCTTCCTTCTCCAGCTCCCAACTCCCAGCTGACTTCCACACAACTCCAACTCTAACTCCTCCCCTTGGGTTCCCACTGGCCAATCACTTCACACTCATTTAACCCTTTCCTTATGACCCACCTAGGAGGGCAAACGCCACAGGTACCTTTTTGGGGGGAAGCAGCTCCCCAAAGTTGAGGTGAAGAGGTGTGGTGGGGCTGATTTTCAATGTGGTGGCCTGAGGAGGATCTAATTATTTTTCTTACTTAAAAGCAAAGCAATGGCTAAGCGGTGCTCCAGATGTCTGCAAACGAGCGCCTTGAAACTGGCGAAATGGTGTGACGGCAGCTGGAATACTGGCACACAGTTCTGGTTGCCTCACCTCAAAAAGCATATTGCTGGGCATGCAAAACGACTGAGCAGGTGGAGCAATGACTCTGTGAGGAAGGATCACATGAAAGAGGTGTATGCAATTTTGCTTCATGTAGAAGAGGAAGAAGAGTTTGGATTTGATATCCCACTTTATCACTACCCTAAAGGACCGTATAGTTAAAGTCATGGTTTTCCCAGTAGTGATGTATGGAAGTGAGAGCTGGACCATAAAGAAGGCTGATCACCGAAGAATTGATGCTTTTGAATTATGGTGCTGGAGGAGACTCCCATGGACTGCAAGAAGATCAAACCTCTCCATTCTGAAGAAAATCAGCCCTGAGTGCTCACTGGAAGGATAGATTGTGAAGCTGAGGCTCCAATGCTTTGGCCACCTCATGAGAAGAGATGACTCCCTGGAAAAGACCCTGATGTTGGGAAAGATGGAGGGCACAAGGAGAAGGGGACGACAGAGGACGAGATGGTTGGATAGTGTTCGCGAAGCTACCAGCATGAGTCTGACCAAACTGCGGGAGGCAGTGGAAGACAGGAGTGCCTGGCATTTTCTGGTCCAGGTGGTCACGAAGAGTCAGACACGACTAAACAAATAAACAACAACAAAGGAGTCTCAAAGCGGCTAACATTCTCCTTTCCCTTCCTCCCCCACAACAAACACTCTGTGAGGTGAGTGGGGCTGAGAGACTTCAGAGAAGTGTGACTGGCCCAAAGTCACCCAGCAGCTGCATGTGGAGGAGCGGAGACGCGAACCCGGTTCCCCAGATTACGAGTCCCTCCATCTTTCCCAACATCAGGGTCTTTTCCAGGGAGTCTTCTCTTCTCTTGAGGTGGCCAAAGTACTGGAGCCTCAGCTTCAGGATCTGTCCTTCCAGTGAGCACTCAGGGCTGATTTCCTTCAGAATGGAGAGGTTTGATCCTCTTGCAGTCTATGGGACTCTCAAGAGTCTCCACCACACACTGGTAGAGAAAGAGCGTAGAGAAAAGTCTTTCTCCTTGTCTCATAATGCCAGAACTTAGGGACATCCAATGAAGCCAAACTTTGGAAGATTCAGGCCAGACAAAGAACTTCACACAACACATAATGAATTTGCTCCCACTGGAAGTAGTGATGGCTACTAACTTGGATGGTCTAAAAAGAAGTTTAGACAAATTTGTGGGAGAAAGGTATATCAATGGCTAATAGACACAAAGAATATATTATACTTCCACTGTTGGAGATATTATTCCACTCAGTACCAGTTCCTGGGAATCCCAGGTGAGGAGAATGTTGTTGCACTCTCAGTCCTCTTGTAGGCTTCTCATAGGCATGTTGTTGTTGTTGTTGTTTAGTCGTTTAGTCGTGTCCGACTCTTCGTGACCCCATGGACAAGAGCACGCCAGGCACCTCTGTCCTCCACTACCTCCCGCAGTTTGGTCAAACTCATGCTGGTAACCTCGAAAACACTATCCAACCATCTCGTCCTCTGTCACCCCCTTCTCTTTGTGCCCTCCATCTTTCCCAGCATCAGTGTCTTCTCCAGGGAGTCTTCTCTTCTCATGAGGTGGCCAAAGTACTGGAGCCTCAGCTTCACGATCTGTCCTTCCAGTGAGCACTCAGGGCTAATTTCCTTAAGAATGGAGAGGTTTGATCTTCTTGCAGTCCATGGGACTCTCAAGAGTCTTCTCCAGCACCATAATTCAAAAGCATAAATTCTTCGGCGATCAGGCTTCTTTATGGTCCAGCTCTCACTTCCATACATCACTACTGGGAAACCATGGCTTTAACTATACGGACCTTTGTTTGCAAGGTGACGTCTCTACTTCTCAAGATGCTATCTAGGCCTGTCATTGCCCTTCTCCCAAGAAGCAGGCGTCTTTTAATTTTGTGGCTGCTGTCACCATCTGCAGTGATCATGGAGCCCAAGAAAGTAAAATCTCTCACTGCCTCCATTTCTTCCCCTTCTATTTGCCAGGAGGTGATGGGACCAGTGGCCATGATCTTCGTTTTTTTGATGTTGAGCTTCAGACCATATTTTGCGCTCTCCTCTTATATGCTCATATGGGACCAGTGGCCATGATCTTCATTTTTTTGATGTTGAGCTTCAGACCATATTTTGCGCTCTCCTCTTATATGCTCTTATATGCTCATATGCTCATAGGCATATGGCTGGCCATTGTGAGAACAAGATCCTGGCCTAGATGGCCCCATCTATCAGTAATTGATTAGCGTACTTTCTCCTCCAGCAGGAGAAAGACCATGCTTCCACTGGAACCTCCTGGACGGAGTCTTCAGAACCAGAGGAGAGCAATGTGACCTACTGAGACCTTGAGGGAGGTGGCAAAATGGGGTCCTCTGGTGTGACTGATCTGTCCTCTAAGCCAGTGTTTCCCAACCTTGGGCCTCCAGCTGTTTTTGGACTACAATTCCCATCATCCCTTGCCACTGGTCTTGCTAGTCAGGGATGATGGGAGTTGTAGTTCAAAAACAGCTGGAGGCCCAAGGTTGGGAAACACTGCTCTAAGCCTTCCATGAATTTTGTATGCATTGGGGCCTCGTTTCAGACATTTCAAGGAAATATGCACAGGGCAAGTGCAAATCCTGCTATTGTGATGTCCCCCCCCCCACACACATTATATCCCCACTAAATATCTGTAAGGAGCTATTGTCTTATTGGGCAAGGGATGTTGTCCAAAAACATTTAATAAAAATATATATAGCTTTTTTGTTTGTCTGTTTTCAGTAAATATTTTATTATTTTCTTCTGCAGTTATATTTGGAATCACAACTCAAAGGCTCAACTCATGATTTCTGGATTGGACTGTATAAAAGGGGTAACGACTGGTCATGGATTGATGCAAACCATCGGTTTCCTCACATGTAAGCCTAAACAAATTTCTTCTAAGGTCTGGGTTATACAACATTGTGTGTGTGTGTGTAAAATGTATATATATGTGTGTATGATTTTTGGGGAAACCAAACCCAGTGGTGGATATATGCCAAGATCCACCACTGGGTTTGGTTTCCAGAAAACCTAGATACTCATTTCAAATTTGAAAGGGAAGTTTGTAAAAGGCTAGGACTGTGTTGTCTTGGAACATGTATATGTTCTCAGGGCACAATGTGCAATCCAGCTTAAAGGCCATTTCAGGAGAAGAAAAGGCGGTGCCTGGGGGAGCCATCGCCACAGTTGCCAGACCATGCTAGCCAGAGGATGTGGCTTTGCTCAACTCCTCCAGCTCAAAGAAAAACCTTTCTCTGCAGCCCACACCATCTCCATGCCATAGAAGCCAGTGGACATCTAAATTGAATCATAGAATCATAGAGTTGGAATAGACCACAAGGGCCATCGAGTCCAACCCCCTGCCAAGCAGGAAACACCATCAGAGCACTCCTGACATATGGTTGTCAAGCCTCTGCTTAAAGACCTCCAAAGAAGGAGACTCCACCACACTCCTTGGCAGCAAATTCCACTGTCAAACAGCTCTTACTGTCAGGAAGTTCTTCCTAATGTTTAGGTGGAATCTTCTTTCTTGTAGTTTGGATCCATTGCTCCTTGTCCGCTTCTCTGGAGCAGCAGAAAAAGAACCTTTCTCCCTCCTCTATATGACATCCTTTTATATATTTGAACATGGCTATCATATCACCCCTTAACCTCCTCTTCTCCAGGCTAAACATGCCCAGCTCCCTTAGCCGTTCCTCATAAGGCATCGTTTCCAGACCATTGACCATTTTGGTTGCCCTCCTCTGGACACGTTCCAGTTTGATTCATGCTTCCTCTTCTTTTCAGGTACTGGATGCCTGGGCAGCCAAATAACAAGGGCTTTGCACGTCCAGGAGGTGAGAACTGTGTTGGACTAATTAAAAATTGTGGTACGCCGCTGAGATGTTGGCATGATGCCCCCTGCTCTTCTACAAAAAAATGCATTTGTAAGATGCTTCCTCAAAAGAAGTGGCTTACATGAAACTGGATTCTAAGATCTCTGTAAAACAACAACAACCAATGACGATGGAAAAAGCCCACCCCCTTAAGAAATAAATAAATGCAGAAGCAACTAAAATGGGTGGTTATTCAGCTCAACGCTCTGACATCAGGTCTTAAGAATACATCGCTTCTGCTTTCTTGAGGCTTAAACAAGACACCTTATTTGCCAGCTGCAAAAACTTAAGTAGCTTCATGAAATAAAGCATAGAAGAATCCAACCACACTCCATTTGCTATTTTACTTAATTGAGATGAGAATCCTGAAGTTAGGTTGTGAGGGAGAACCAATGTTGTTGAATCACCCATCCAGAGATGAGCAATGCTCTTAAACTCCTCCATCACGTTCCAAACAAAACAAAACAAAACAAAACAAAACAAACAAAACAAAAGAACCCCTCCCAACTTACTCTGCCTGCTCCCAGTTTGGGTTGGTGTTATCCACCTCCCCCCCACCTTAGTGCCTGTTTGAAACTGGAAAAGTGTTGGGTCCTTCAGAGCCAAGCCTTCCCTGCCCTCCCCCTCCTCCCAGCATGCTCCCAGACTCAGTGGCGGAGCTTCATGCTCCGGACATGGGGCGGAGAGCAGGTGGGGGCAGGGCTGGCGTGTGTCCCAGTGGTGTGCATCCTGGGGGTGTGGCGTGGCGTGGCACCCATAGGGGCACGCCATCCAACGCAGGCGGGGGGCAGCTATGATGGCACCCCGCTGGGATTGTGCTGCCGGGGGCGGTGCGCTCCCTCCGCACTCCTCTTCCTCTGCCAGTGCCCAGACTACCACCGACATGTACCCTTTCCAATCCTATTAATGCCAGGGCTCCTATGTCTGGAATCTCACAAAAGGGGCCCTAGGAATTCTGGATAATTATATTCACCATGATTGCTTCCTTATTATGTACTTCTGATTTCTAGTTCATCTTCATCTTGATGAACTATCCAGTCTTCACCAACCTAATACCCTCAAGATGTCTTGGACTATGGTTCCCATCAGCTGGGGGCTGTTGGTTGCTGTTGTCCAAGATATCTGGAGGGCACCAGGTTGATGAAGGCATCATCTTTTAAGGGCTACTGTGATCTTATATCAGCTTTCTTGAACCTGATACCCTCCAGGTGTCTTGGGCAAATAATAATACAGTGGTACCTCAGGTTAAGAACTTAATTCGTTCTGGAGGTCCATTCTTAACCTGAAACTGTTCTTAACTTGAGGTACCACTTTAGCTAATGGGGCCTCCCGCTCCTGCCGCCACGCGATTACTGTTCTCATCCTGAAGCAAAGTTCTTAATCCGAGGTACTATTTCTGGGTTAGCGGAGTCTCTAACCTGAAGCGTCTGTAACCCAAGGTACGACTGTAATAAAATTTTATTTGTATCCTGCCCTCCCCTGCCAGAGCTGGGCTCAGAGCGGCTAACATCATATTAATAGCACAAAATACATAAAACAAGAAGTCAATTGATTAAAATGCATCCCAAAATTAATTAAAATAAGTTATAATTAAAATTAAGCAAATGGCAGTCCTCAGCTTAAATTGAAAGAGGTTAATACTTGCATGGACCACTGTTTCCACTGATATTATAAGGACCTGTGAGTGTGCTGGGAAACTTCCTTCATGCTTGTTCTTATGTAGCACCCTGCTTGTGGTTAACGCTTAGCTGGAATGAAATATTCAACACAGCAATAGAGAAATTAAAATAATAATTTATTTGTCAGACAAATAAATAAAAGGCACAGTGGTATATGGTTACAAAAGCTCTGCCCACTCCAGCCTGATGGCCAGTACTTATATTTCCTCAGCCCAGCCCCCTTGCTCCTCCTTGGGCTGCCTCTGTCCAATCAGCCTGGTTGAAATTCCTATTGGCTGTTGCTAGAACCAATCATTAAAAGATACACCCATTTCCTATTACCTTTTTATGGGAGACAAAGAGCTATATTTCCTTCTATCCATAAATGGCAGACTAGTAGCCATATATCTTACATTTGCCTCGACAAGGCACCTTAATTACCAGATCATCTTTGCCCTATTGCCCTATTCACTCCAAAACAGATGGCTAAAACAGATGGCACATGGTTTTAATTTTTATCTTAAACAGAGATCTTGGGTTCACCTTCTCACACACCATCAATGAAATAAGAATCTAACATAAGAAAACTATGAAAGTACTCTGCACATGTTCTAAAATGTCCCAACCAATGAGCACAAGGGCGGGAATTTCTTCCAAAAGGGCTACCTGCCACTTCCCTGCCCAGTTTTTGAACCTGACATCTATTTCCGCCACCTTCAGGATCTCTGCTTGTTTCAAAATTCCTTTTAATTTCATTACTTTTCCTGGAATTATGGCCTCATCCTTGATTATCTCCGGGTGGACTATAGTGACTTGTGATCCCGTGTCCTTTAACCCGAGATATCTTTTTCCGTCTATTCAGATATACTTTCCAGCGTTCTTTTACAAGAGATTATCTTGTTGAATCGCATAACAGTGCGGGACTTTGGCCTCTACTACCTCAGCAGGCTCGGGCCTAGTGGGCATGTCCATTTCCTTGACAACCTGACTAGTTGGGCCCTGCTCCACAGGCTGCATACAATATGTCTGTTTCTGTGTGGTGCTATAACTAGATGTTTCTTTTCCTGTTTTACAATCAAAACTTTTATGACCTAATTTTCCACATCTCCAGCATGAAATGTCTTTGGGTCCTGCATAACTTGTTTTATTGACTTTTCCCTCAGAAAACTCTGTATGGGTGTGTGCCTTCTCATGTGGGCTTTTTTGATGAGGGGCTGCTTCTCTTATCGGTTTCTGAGGTAATCTTTCCTTTGGTTTGCTGAAATTTATTCTTGTTTGTTTCCCAATATCTCCCACCAAATTTTGGCCCATCAAATCCATGGACTCTGATTTCATTTATTTTATCGGCTAAACCCGCTGCTTCCTCTATTGTTTTGGGGTTCCCTTTCTTTTATCAGGTACTTCAATTGACCATTATTGTGTCGTAAAATTGCTCCAATGCTATCACTTCTCTAATCTTGGGTACCGTGTCTGCATTCTCTTGCTCTAACCATCTTGTGAGGTAAGTTTTTATCTTTGCACCAAGCTGCACATAGGTTTCCTCCCTCACCTTTGTCTCACTTCTAAATTTTTCTCTCAACTGCTCTGAGGTAATCCCAAAGCGGGTGTATATTAACTGCTTGTACACCTCAAAATTTCAGGATTGTTCCTCAGTCATTTGAGCGTATATTTCGGCTAGAGGACCGCTTATCCTAGCTCTCAAGATCATCATTTTATCTTCCTCTCTCACTTGAAAATCGTGACAGGCTATCTCGAAAGATACTAGAAATGCTTCTGGGCTATCCTTATCTCTAAACTCAGGAAAGCGTTTTAAATCTATCTTCATTTGATTCTGCCCATCAGTGTTATTACTATTATTACGATTTTCTAAAACCGTTAATTCCAACCGTCTCATCTCTAACTGAAACCACTGCTGTTCCCTTTCCTGCTCCGCCCTCACCTTTTCTTTTTCCAATTCTTGCTCAAGCCTAAATTGTTCAGTTTCTTGTTAAAGCCTAAATTTTTCTTGTTCAGTTCTATTTTTCTCAAACTCTAATTTCAAGTTATATTTTTGTACTAATTTCCACTTTTCAAAATCCCCTGAGAACTTTGGAACCTCTACTTCAGGTGGGGTTTTAGTCATCTCTTCTGTTCTCGTTTCCTCCCCCTGGGGATTCCCATTCTCTTCTCCAGAGCTTTCGTATGGGTTTTCCCTCACTGGGTGCTTGGTCTTCTAGGGTGGCATTATGGGTGAGTCAGTATTTTGCACCAATTAAATAAGAGACTTTTACTCTCAACACTGTTCCTCCCGGCTTGGCTTTTCAAAACCCTGGTCCCCAAAGTGTAGCTTTAGGTTTTTTAGCATCTAACCTTTCAAGCTTACTTCCTCTGGCCTAAGCCTCCGCCAGAACAGTCTTTTGAGATCTCTTGCTCTTATTGTTATCTCGGCCACACGGCAATCTGGGGTTTATCCTCAATCACACCCTTGGGCCAAGTAATCTCTTCACCGATTTACCCTTCCCCTCTGCAAGTGTATTGCTTCCCCTCACTGGCTCTTAGACTTATCGAATCCCGCCGCTGCTGCCAATTTTGTGGCGTTCGTACGGAGCCCCCGGTCGTCTCATGGACTATTGACCCATACACCACTAATCCGCTGCCACCAACCAGGTCCTCCCTGGTAAAATCACTTCAGTCTCAGTCAGCTTTTCCATTAATAAAGAAGGGTGTATTTTATTTCAGACACAAACAAAACTTTTGCAGCATTCCAAACGTAGTTGCGCTTTACTTTCTTAGTCTTATTTTCCTCTCTCTATCTCTTCTACCTCCCCACACTCAAGAACCCACGGCCCTATCTGTCTCTCTATTACCAACTGCCTTTCCCAACCAGCCAACCCACTAAATCCAACCAACTACCCACCAACAACTCCCAACCAACTCCTCCCAGAACTGGTTTTATAAACTCACTGACTCCACCCCCTGGGTCCTGTCTGTGCAACCTATTTAACTATTTACCCTCCAACACTCTCTCATATATGTTAACGTCACACCAAGGTCCGTTATGTCATGAGTACTAAGCAGCTGCAAACAAGCTCGATGTTTACATCACATGATGGGTCTAAGCGTGGGACAGGAAATTCCAATCTGTTCTCAGAGTTGTGTTCTCAGTGTAACATGAAACCTTCCTGTTGCTTGTGTCCGGGAGGTGTGAGTCAGTTGCTCGGAGGATTCTGAGAGAGAAGTCATGCTTTTGTACAGTGTACAGTTCGGGAATAAAAGTAGAATCAAATAGACTACTTTTCCAGACTGTTTTCTTTCTCCTGCTGCTATGCAAGGGGGAAGGGAGTGTGCACCTTTCAGGAGGGAGGTGTCTCTTATCCAAGACCTCCCTGGTCTGTCCGGATGCCAGCCAGGGTAGGTCACCGGCAACAGGCCCCAAGAGCCTGGGAAGAGGAGCCAGCCTTTCCCAAGGGGGCCAGTTTCCAACACCTTAGTGGTTGCCAAAATGTTAAAGGAAAAATTCGTGGCTCACTTGGATTGTCAAACAATGATGCTAGCCAAGATTATAGGAGCAAAACAGCAGTCAGTAGGCCTGATCTTTACTGTTGCAACAAGACTTCAAACTACCACTTGGAAGAAGCAGAAAGAAGCCCTGAAGAAAGGAAGGCTATCTTTTTTTATAAGTTTCCCATATTACCCATAACACCCTTAGCAAAACATCATACATTTGTCATAACTATGCCACAAATTAAGAGGGGTCTTCTGGCAGAAACCTGAGTATCAGGCTTGCCCCGTCCCTCCTTTGACCTCCACCCCACACCCATTAGGTGAAACAAAGGTAAGTATTTATATGTTTCTGTTTCCCAGACAAGTTAAGCACACCCCTTTGTCTTGTCCAAGACCCCAATCCATTGAGGTTGGGTTTGCTATTGTCTTTGGGATTACTACCTGCCTGGCACTCAGCTGCCAGGCTGCCAGAGATTATCACCCAGGCAGTGAGGCTGCTGTGTACGTGGTCTCATGCTTCAGGGATTATGGCTGTCCGTGCCCATCTCCCAAGCTCCTCTTCTGGTAGCCATAATCCTTCTTATCAGAACACCATTGGAACGGAGCAAATCCATCAAGGGGGTGATTTTATATGAATTTTTAAAGGTTTTCTCTACAGAGGGAAGCTTATAATGTTTAATAGGTTATTGTATTTTACTGTTTCGTTGGAAGCCGCCCAGAGTGGCTGTGGAAACCCAGCCAGATGGGCGGAGTATAAATAATAAATTAATAATTAAAAAGAGGAACCTAAATTCCACAAGTGGATAATATGTAGCCTTCAGATTTGATAAAGGTAAAGGTACCCCTGCCCGTACGGGCCAGTCTTGACAGACTCTAGGGTTGTGCACCCATCTCACTCAAGTTGTTTCCTGCTTGGCAGGGGGTTGGACTCGATGGCCCTTGTGGTCTCTTCCAACTCTATGATTCTATGATTCTATGATTCTAAGAGGCCGGGGGCCAGCGCTGTCCGCAGACACTTCCGGGTCACGTGGCCAGCGTGACAAAGCTGCATCTGGCGAGCCAGCGCAGCACACGGAACGCCGTTTACCTTCCCGCTAGTAAGCGGTCCCTATTTATCTACTTGCACCCGGGGGTGCTTTTGAACTGCTAGGTTGGCAGGCACTGGGACCGAACAACGGGAGCGCACCCTGCCGCGGGGATTCGAACCGCCAACCTTTCGATCGGCAAGCCCTAGGCGCTGAGGCTTTTACCCACAGCGTAACAAAAGTGGTTTTGATAACTTGTTTTCACTTTCCTTATTCCAGGTGGGGTTTCCGTTTACTTGAACTGAACTGAGGCTAGTTTGATAGCTGAAGTACAGCTGCAGTACCTGTGTAGCCCTTGTCAGGGAGCACTGCTCTGTAACTCCAATTGGATGGGATTTCAGTAGCTGTCAACATAAGATGACTTGATTGGCTGTAAGTCTGACAGTTATTTGAATGTTGTTTGATGATTGGTCCAGCACTTTATGCATCGAAAGGTCAGCGCAAGGACTTATGAATGGAAGGGTTTTCACAATCGGTCTACCCTTATATACAGGCACACTTTAGAGAAGGAGACAGGACAGCACAATGATGGGGGTAGGCTGTCGTTGTGAATGGTACCATTTTGAGAAATGGTTTATGGCACAATATCTCATTTATAGGAAAGGGTGTGTGTGTCCCCCCCCCTTCCTGTAAATTCTGGTAAAAACTGTACCTTGCATTTTGTTTTTCTGGAGATTAATTTACGTCTAATGTATAACTGATTTTCCTTTAATTGTATTTGTACATCACACCTTCACCTTTCATAAACTGAAATTAATTTTCTGCTGATGAGTTTTAAAAGTTTTCCAAAACATCCCAACATTTGTTCATATATAGTCACAACACTCCCACCCTCCGGGGCATATTAAGGATTGCAGTTTTTACCTCCCAACTACTTAAATATAGTTTAAGGAGGAGTTAACAGTTCCTGTAGTTTAACTGGCTAATAAAAGGCTTTGCTGCCCTCAGCCTCTCAGGAGAAAGACTGTTGTAACCACATTTGGGAAACCATGATTGAAGGCAGCCTTCCCCAACTTAGTGCCCAATATCTGTGCCAGGAAGGCCAGATATCCCCCACCTTCGAATGTATGTTACATGGTAGCTTGTTTAGTTTGCGAGTTGTTTTGTGGTTTAATTTTAATTAATTGGTTAGTCAGTTAGTTTAAACTGCAATAGAAGGTTGTCAAATAATGTAATAGTTCTGCAGATAACTAGTCAGCCCATCTTATTTGTGTGTATTGAGCTGTTGATATTATAAGTGGAATAATAAACTGGGAAAGAATAACATCAATGATCTCAAAGGAGGCAGGCATGGGGCTTGGAATTACTACTGCGGAGGGGTGAGGGAGGTATGGTGGTGGGAGCGGATTCCACAGGCGAAGGGGTCTGAGATATGGATATGCTCGCACCCCTTCCAATCTGTGCCCCATCCCGAGGGATGAAGGTAGGGTGAGGACTACTCACCTTGGTCACTGGTGTTGTGCAACGCCAGGTCTATAGGCAATAAAACCGCCACCCTGTGAGATTTCTTTACTTGACCGGCTTGTGTGACGGAGACCTGGGTGTGCAAAGGGGAAACAGTTGCCTTACGAGAGATGGCGCCCTCGGGTTTCTCCGTCCTCCACCAGTCGTGGACCATGGGCCGGGGGGGGGGGGAAGGGTGGCATTTTTAATCTGAGAAGATTGTTCTTTCAGGGTTCTTCCATCACCATCGATCTCTGGCATTGAATGTGTTGGCCTGGTGTGGTGTGTTGAGAAGAGCTTGGCTGTTTGGCTGGTGTACTGGCCACCTAGCGCACCAGCAGGTACCCTGTCAGACCTAATGGAGGTGGTGGCAGGCTGGGCCTTGGAGTTCCCCAACCTATTGGTATTGGGGGACTTCAGTGTCCATGCTGATGCCGCCCCCTCCTTACAGGCTCTGGACCTGGTGTCTTCCATGGCAACACTAGGGCTCCCCCAGTTTGTTTTGGGCTCCACACATCAAACAGGCCCCACACTGGATCTGATTTTTGGTGCAGGCATAGATGTGATCATGTCCCCTCAATGGAGCTGCCATGGTCTGATCACTATGCCCTGAAAGCCAGGATTGACTTCCCGTCCCCACCCTGCTTAGGTGGTGAGCATATTTGGGCTCGCCCGCAAAGGCTGATGGATCCTGATCGATTCCGTCAGGCCTTGCGGGATGCTGCTCCCCCTGGTGACTCATTGACTGAGCTTGTTGAGGGTAGGAATACCCGGCTCTTGGTGGCCATCAATGAGATCACACCTAGGTGCCCTTTGCAACCCCACAGAGACCAGGCCCCCTGGTTTACCAAGGAGCTCCGGAAAATGAAGCGGGACCTCAGACGGCTATAGCGAGTATGGCACAGTACCTGCAATGGAGCTACAAGAACATCTTATAGGGCGTTTATGAAAACCTATGAGATGGCAGTGAAGGCTAAGAAGTCTTACTTCTCAGCCTCCATTGCATCCGCTAGCTCTCGCCCGGCACAACTTTTTAGCATAATTAGGTATCTAACGTCCCTAGAGGGACAGTCAAATTTAAATACAAATCAGACTTACAACTGTGAGGCATTTGCAAGCTGTTTTGCAGATAAGGTCCTGTCACTCTGCTGTGACCTCCCTGCCAATTTGGATACAATAATGGAACTGGAGGCACCTTGACTGTCCTCGGGTCCAGTATTAGACCACTTTGACCAGATCCTCCCAGCAGAAGTGGACAAACTCCTCCATGCTGGAAAGCCCACCACTTGCCCTCTCGACCTGTGCCTGTCCTGGCTGATTAGAGCATGTCCAGATGAGGTGCAGGCTCCCCTGGGTGAGAGCATCAATTTGTCCCTTGGCACCGGGACATTCCCAGGGGAATTGAAGGAGGCAGTGGTGCGTCTGCTCTTAAAAAAAACCATTAGATCCTTTAGATCTATCAAATTACCGCCCAGTTTCAAATCTTCCGTTCCTGGGTAAGGTGATTGAGAGAGCGGTAGCTGACCAGCTTGGCGGATTTCTGGATGAAACATTGGCTTTGGCTCCATTCCAGTCCGGTTTTTGCTCTGGGCATGGGACCGAGACAGCACTGGTTGCCTTAACAGATGACCTCCATAGGCAGCTGGATCGAGGCGGGTTGGGGCTGTTGATTCTTTTCGATCTGTCAGCAGCCTTTGAGATGGTCGACCACAAACTTTTAGACCACCACCTCACCGATGTAGGGATTCAGGGCACAGTCCTTCAATGGCTGTGCTCGTTCCCCTCTGGTCGGGGACAGAGGGTGGAGCTGGAGAGGGGTTGTCATCGCACTACTCCTTGGTGTGTGGAGTACCGCAGGGCACAATTCTCTCCCCAATGCTTTTTAACATCCATATGTGCCCCCTCGCCCAGCTCGTCCGGAATTTTGGTTTGGGCTGTCATCAGTATGCTGATGACACCCAGCTTTATCTCTTGATGGATGGCCACCCAGTCCTTTGGCTCGGTTGAGATGATATGGGGTTGGGGGGCCAACTCCCATCCCTTGCAGGGGCGCAACTAGTGTCAGCATCTTCCATCAAGAGTTAGGGTGTAATCTTTGACGCCTCCTTTCTATGGAGGCACAGGTTGCAGCTATAACAAAGGGGCATTTTTCCATCTCCGCCAAGCTAAGCAGTTGGTCCCTTACTTCTCTCGCCCTGACCTCACCACTGTGATCCATGCAATGGTCACCTCAAAGCTTGATTATTGTAACTCACTCTACATGGGGCTGCCCTTGAAACTGACCCAGAAACTCCAGCGGGTGCAGAATGCTGCAGCGAGACTACTTAGGGGTCTTCGCCATGGGATCACAGTACTATACAGCTGCACTGGCTCCCGGTGGAGCACAGGATCAGGTTTAAGGTGCTGGTTTAAAGCCCTATACAGCCTAGGACCCTTGTACCTACGGGACCGCCTCTCCTGGTATGTCCCATGGAGGACCTTACGGTCTGCTAATAACAACACCATGAAGATTCCGGGCCCAAGAGAGGTCAGACTGGCCTCAATCAGAGCCAGGGCCTTTTCAGTTGTAGCCCCGGCCTGGTGGAACACTCTCTCACAAGAGACCAGGGCCCTGTAAGATTTGACATCTTTTCGCAGGGCCTGCAAGACAGAGCTGTTCCGCCAGGCCTTTGGCTAGGGTTCAGTCTGACTCACTTTCTCTTTGTATAAGTGAGGCATCTGATCAAGGCTTGTATTTTAAAATGAGCTTAAAAGATATATTTGCAAATGCTTGTATGTTTCATGCCAGGCATAAAGCAGCTGGCTGGGTGCTTTGGCAGTTGTTTGTCTTCCTGCTCAGGGGCCCCACTGATTTATAGCAGTACTTCAAAGTTGTAAAAGGAAAATTACAGGCTAGGAGCAAAAGGTCATACTGGCCATACATATTACAGAATACAATCAAGCTGCAAAAAACACTAATTAAGAGTTGGTAAATAGTAAGAATTATTGTGCCTCCCATCAGACTCGAGCCACATCTTCCTAAGGTTAAAGGGCAAGAGCTAATAGGAAACAGCAGCTGGCTTGAAATAGGAACAGCAGCTGGCTTGAAAGGGGGGTGTAAATTTAAGGGGTTGCTTTTGGAAACTGTTTTTACTAAGTTCCTTTTCAGTTCTAAAAAGCTATATATGTTAATGTATGAAATATATTGGCTTAAATGTAAGTATGCAAAGGATTTAGAAAGTAAGAAATGTTAGATTCTTATGTTAGATTCTTATTTCATTGATGGTGTGTGAGAAGGTGAACCCAAGATCTCTGTTTAAGATAAAAATTAAAACCATGTGCCATCTGTTTTAGCCATCTGTTTTGGAGTGAATAGGGCAATAGGGCAAAGATGATCTGGTAATTAAGGTGCCTTGTCGAGGCAAATGTAAGATATATGGCTACTAGTCTGCCATTTATGGATAGAAGGAAATATAGCTCTTTGTCTCCCATAAAAGGTAATAGGAAATGGGTGTATCTTTTATGATTGGTTCTAGCAAACAGCCAATAGGAATTTCAACCAGGCTGATTGGACAGAGGCAGCCAAAGGAGGAGCAAGGGGGCTGGGCTGAGGAAATATAAGTACTGGCCATCAGGGCTGGAGTGGGCAGAGCTTTTGGTAAGCATATACCACTGTGCCTTTTATTTATTTGTCTGACAAATAAATTATTATTTTAATTTCTCTATTGCTGTGTTGAATATTTCATTCCAGCTAAGCGTTAACCACAAGCAGGGTGCTACATAAGAACAAGCATGAAGGAAGTTTCCCAGCACACTCACAGGTCCTTATAATATCAGTGGAAACAGTGGTCCATGCAAGTATTAACCTCTTTCAATTTAAGCTGAGGACTGCCATTTGCTTAATTTTAATTATAACTTATTTTAATTAATTTTGGGATGCATTTTAATCAATTGACTTCTTGTTTTTATGTATTTTGTGCTATTAATATGATGTTAGCCGCTCTGAGCCCAGCTCTGGCAGGGGAGGGCAGGATACAAATAAAATTTTATTACAGTGGTACCTTGGGTTACAGACGCTTCAGGTTAGAGACTCCGCTAACCCAGAAATAGTACCTCGGATTAAGAACTTTGCTTCAGGATGAGAACAGTAATCGCGTGGCGGCAGGAGCGGGAGGCCCCATTAGCTAAAGTGGTACCTCAAGTTAAGAACAGTTTCAGGTTAAGAATGGACCTCCAGAACGAATTAAGTTCTTAACCTGAGGTACCACTGTATTATTATTTGCCCAAGACACCTGGAGGGTATCAGGTTCAAGAAAGCTGATATAAGATCACAGTAGCCCTTAAAAGATGATGCCTTCATCAACCTGGTGCCCTCCAGATATCTTGGACAACAGCAACCAACAGCCCCCAGCTGATGGGAACCATAGTCCAAGACATCTTGAGGGTATTAGGTTGGTGAAGACTGGATAGTTCATCAAGATGAAGATGAACTAGAAATCAGAAGTACATAATAAGGAAGCAATCATGGTGAATATAATTATCCAGAATTCCTAGGGCCCCTTTTGTGAGATTCCAGACATAGGAGCCCTGGCATTAATAGGATTGGAAAGGGTACATGTCGGTGGTAGTCTGGGCACTGGCAGAGGAAGAGGAGTGCGGAGGGAGCGCACCGCCCCCGGCAGCACAATCCCAGCGGGGTGCCATCATAGCTGCCCCCCGCCTGCGTTGGATGGCGTGCCCCTATGGGTGCCACGCCACGCCACACCCCCAGGATGCACACCACTGGGACACACGCCAGCCCTGCCCCCACCTGCTCTCCGCCCCATGTCCGGAGCATGAAGCTCCGCCACTGAGTCTGGGAGCATGCTGGGAGGAGGGGGAGGGCAGGGAAGGCTTGGCTCTGAAGGACCCAACACTTTTCCAGTTTCAAACAGGCACTAAGGTGGGGGGGAGGTGGATAACACCAACCCAAACTGGGAGCAGGCAGAGTAAGTTGGGAGGGGTTCTTTTGTTTTGTTTGTTTTGTTTTGTTTTGTTTTGTTTTGTTTGGAACGTGATGGAGGAGTTTAAGAGCATTGCTCATCTCTGGATGGGTGATTCAACAACATTGGTTCTCCCTCACAACCTAACTTCAGGATTCTCATCTCAATTAAGTAAAATAGCAAATGGAGTGTGGTTGGATTCTTCTATGCTTTATTTCATGAAGCTACTTAAGTTTTTGCAGCTGGCAAATAAGGTGTCTTGTTTAAGCCTCAAGAAAGCAGAAGCGATGTATTCTTAAGACCTGATGTCAGAGCGTTGAGCTGAATAACCACCCATTTTAGTTGCTTCTGCATTTATTTATTTCTTAAGGGGGTGGGCTTTTTCCATCGTCATTGGTTGTTGTTGTTTTACAGAGATCTTAGAATCCAGTTTCATGTAAGCCACTTCTTTTGAGGAAGCATCTTACAAATGCATTTTTTTGTAGAAGAGCAGGGGGCATCATGCCAACATCTCAGCGGCGTACCACAATTTTTAATTAGTCCAACACAGTTCTCACCTCCTGGACGTGCAAAGCCCTTGTTATTTGGCTGCCCAGGCATCCAGTACCTGAAAAGAAGAGGAAGCATGAATCAAACTGGAACGTGTCCAGAGGAGGGCAACCAAAATGGTCAATGGCCTGGAAACGATGCCTTATGAGGAACGGCTAAGGGAGCTGGGCATGTTTAGCCTGGAGAAGAGGAGGTTAAGGGGTGATATGATAGCCATGTTCAAATATATAAAAGGATGTCATATAGAGGAGGGAGAAAGGTTCTTTTTCTGCTGCTCCAGAGAAGCGGACAAGGAGCAATGGATCCAAACTACAAGAAAGAAGATTCCACCTAAACATTAGGAAGAACTTCCTGACAGTAAGAGCTGTTTGACAGTGGAATTTGCTGCCAAGGAGTGTGGTGGAGTCTCCTTCTTTGGAGGTCTTTAAGCAGAGGCTTGACAACCATATGTCAGGAGTGCTCTGATGGTGTTTCCTGCTTGGCAGGGGGTTGGACTCGATGGCCCTTGTGGTCTATTCCAACTCTATGATTCTATGATTCAATTTAGATGTCCACTGGCTTCTATGGCATGGAGATGGTGTGGGCTGCAGAGAAAGGTTTTTCTTTGAGCTGGAGGAGTTGAGCAAAGCCACATCCTCTGGCTAGCATGGTCTGGCAACTGTGGCGATGGCTCCCCCAGGCACCGCCTTTTCTTCTCCTGAAATGGCCTTTAAGCTGGATTGCACATTGTGCCCTGAGAACATATACATGTTCCAAGACAACACAGTCCTAGCCTTTTACAAACTTCCCTTTCAAATTTGAAATGAGTATCTAGGTTTTCTGGAAACCAAACCCAGTGGTGGATCTTGGCATATATCCACCACTGGGTTTGGTTTCCCCAAAAATCATACACACATATATATACATTTTACACACACACACACACAATGTTGTATAACCCAGACCTTAGAAGAAATTTGTTTAGGCTTACATGTGAGGAAACCGATGGTTTGCATCAATCCATGACCAGTCGTTACCCCTTTTATACAGTCCAATCCAGAAATCATGAGTTGAGCCTTTGAGTTGTGATTCCAAATATAACTGCAGAAGAAAATAATAAAATATTTACTGAAAACAGACAAACAAAAAAGCTATATATATTTTATTAAATGTTTTTTGGACAACATCCCTTGCCCAATAAGACAATAGCTCCTTACAGATATTTAGTGGGGATATAATGTGTGTGGGGGGGGGGGACATCACAATAGCAGGATTTGCACTTGCCCTGTGCATATTTCCTTGAAATGTCTGAAACGAGGCCCCAATGCATACAAAATTCATGGAAGGCTTAGAGCAGTGTTTCCCAACCTTGGGCCTCCAGCTGTTTTTGAACTACAACTCCCATCATCCCTGACTAGCAAGACCAGTGGCAAGGGATGATGGGAATTGTAGTCCAAAAACAGCTGGAGGCCCAAGGTTGGGAAACACTGGCTTAGAGGACAGATCAGTCACACCAGAGGACCCCATTTTGCCACCTCCCTCAAGGTCTCAGTAGGTCACATTGCTCTCCTCTGGTTCTGAAGACTCCGTCCAGGAGGTTCCAGTGGAAGCATGGTCTTTCTCCTGCTGGAGGAGAAAGTACGCTAATCAATTACTGATAGATGGGGCCATCTAGGCCAGGATCTTGTTCTCACAATGGCCAGCCATATGCCTATGAGCATATGAGCATATAAGAGCATATAAGAGGAGAGCGCAAAATATGGTCTGAAGCTCAACATCAAAAAAATGAAGATCATGGCCACTGGTCCCATATGAGCATATAAGAGGAGAGCGCAAAATATGGTCTGAAGCTCAACATCAAAAAACGAAGATCATGGCCACTGGTCCCATCACCTCCTGGCAAATAGAAGGGGAAGAAATGGAGGCAGTGAGAGATTTTACTTTCTTGGGCTCCATGATCACTGCAGATGGTGACAGCAGCCACAAAATTAAAAGACGCCTGCTTCTTGGGAGAAGGGCAATGACAGGCCTAGATAGCATCTTGAGAAGTAGAGACGTCACCTTGCAAACAAAGGTCCGTATAGTTAAAGCCATGGTTTTCCCAGTAGTGATGTATGGAAGTGAGAGCTGGACCATAAAGAAGCCTGATCGCCGAAGAATTTATGCTTTTGAATTATGGTGCTGGAGAAGACTCTTGAGAGTCCCATGGACTGCAAGAAGATCAAACCTCTCCATTCTTAAGGAAATTAGCCCTGAGTGCTCACTGGAAGGACAGATCGTGAAGCTGAGGCTCCAGTACTTTGGCCACCTCATGAGAAGAGAAGACTCCCTGGAGAAGACACTGATGCTGGGAAAGATGGAGGGCACAAAGAGAAGGGGGTGACAGAGGACGAGATGGTTGGATAGTGTTTTCGAGGTTACCAGCATGAGTTTGACCAAACTGCGGGAGGTAGTGGAGGACAGAGGTGCCTGGCGTGCTCTTGTCCATGGGGTCACGAAGAGTCGGACACGACTAAACGACTAAACAACAACAACAACATGCCTATGAGAAGCCTACAAGAGGACTGAGAGTGCAACAACATTCTCCTCACCTGGATTCCCAGGAACTGGTACTGAGTGGAATAATATCTCCAACAGTGGAAGCATAATATATTCTTTGTGTCTATTAGCCATTGATATACCTTTCTCCACAAATTTGTCTAAACTTCTTTTTAGACCATCCAAGTTAGTAGCCATCACTACTTCCAGTGGGAGCAAATTCATTATGTGTTGTGTGAAGTTCTTTTGTCTGGCCTGAATCTTCCAAAGTTTTGGCTTCATTGGATGTCCCTCAAGTTCTGGCATTATGAGACAAGGAGAAAGACTTTTCTCTACGCTCTTTCTCTACCAGTGTGTGGTGGAGACTCTTGAGAGTCCATAGACTGCAAGAGGATCAAACCTCTCCATTCTGAAGGAAATCAGCCCTGAGTGCTCACTGGAAGGACAGATCCTGAAGCTGAGGCTCCAGTACTTTGGCCTACCTCAAGAGAAGAGAAGACTCCCTGGAAAAAGACCCTGATGTTGGGAAAGATGGAGGGACTCGTAATCTGGGGAACCGGTTCGCGTCTCCGCTCCTCCACATGCAGCTGCTGGGTGACTTTGGGCCAGTCACACTTCTCTGAAGTCTCTCAGCCCCACTCACCTCACAGAGTGTTTGTTGTGGGGGAGGAAGGGAAAGGAGAATGTTAAGCCGCTTTGAGACTCCTTTGTTGTTGTTTATTTGTTTAGTCGTGTCTGACTCTTCGTGACCACCTGGACCAGAGAATGCCAGGCACTCCTGTCTTCCACTGCCTCCCGCAGTTTGGTCAGACTCATGCTGGTAGCTTCGCGAACACTATCCAACCATCTCGTCCTCTGTCGTCCCCTTCTCGCTTGTGCCCTCCATCTTTCCCAACATCAGGGTCTTTTC